ATATAGCAATCGAATAATTCAGACGCTCGACGGCCATCAGATAATTTCTCAGATCAGTTGAGCCGATCCGGCATGATAGGTTGTATTAGTATTGCGGAAGTCTCCTCCCTCCTGCAATTTGCTCAGCTGGTACTCTTTATAGTTCCATCCTGTCCCCGTTTTCCTTTGTCATGTCTCTACCTTCCATTTCTTTTAGAACAGAAGACGCCGATGACCTCGCGTGCTTATGCATACTGCAATGTTTGCGACTTAATCTTCTGTGAAGTATCCTGAAATGAAAATCTTACCTGCTCCGTCAGGTCATATTCCTGTGGTTGTTCACAAAACTCTGATGATTTATCGATTTATCTTCATCCATATCACCTTATTTAGTTTAAAGATTTGTACATGCATACGTCTTACCTCATTTTCTGCATGTTTTTCTGTAGTTTGTCGCTCCAAGTTCCCAGAAATCAGTTTCATGATCCCATGAATTTGTATCTGCAGTGAGTGGCCGACTCTGCTTTCATCTTGGCCACACAGTGGTATCCCCACATATAAAACAAAGCACGGAAAATGTTTTCCAGCAAAATCCCATCTTAAGTCAATCACAAATCACACCTTGTCGTCTCGTATCACATCGTCAAAGTGACCAAAACCTTCCGACACTTTTACAGAGTAAAAGAGGAACAGAGGCAGTTAATATTTGTCCGTGTGCTAAAAGCATGCACTCAAGCTCGTAAGATCAGACTGCAGAAAAGTAACTCATGGTGAAACGTCGAAGCAAATAATAATTATGGACCACTTATAATACAAGCTGTTGAATAATTTAATTTCCCATGTAAATCCTAATCTGTTACTAGTCATATACACTGTTTTGTAATGACACATTGAGAACTAGCTCGTTTGCCATTTTGTGTTCTGATTAACTTGCATCACTCAACTTTTTCCACAACGACTTAACCACCCACGTATTTCTGTTCATCACGCATGCCGGCAATAAGCACCTGTTATAAGAACAACTGGGATATAGATCCCCAAGGATGTGATAACGCGATAGATCCATTTGTATCATCGAGTTTGTTTATCGTAAAATCGTTGCCCGATCTAATCATTGTCAATTTGCAGCAGTTTCCTGAAGACCATATCTCTTCTACGTTATGCAGCAGGTGCTCAATATAGATTCAACTTGAATGAAATCAAACAGCCCCCTTAGGCTTGACCGGACGCCTTTTTGTTTGGGAGCCGGTTTATCACTTCATACTCGTTTATCAACCAGCCGTTCCTCTGAGAGTTCGCGATCCGGGCAAGCACACAGTGGGCATCAACCGTATCGAGCTTGCCAGAACAAAGTGGTCTATTTTATTAGCAGTCACTTAACCGCGGTTTCGCGGTTCGAAACGATGATGATATTTCCTTGTTGGATGGTTACACTTGTGTGTGTGCACAAACGTTGCCATTCGCCGTTTCCAGGCAGGCGTTCGGCATGCAGTTCAGGGTTGATTACACAACATCAAAAGTATGAAAGAATTCCAACTCAGGATCACTCTCCATTATTGTGATCAGTGAAAAATTACAGGGGAATTTCGAATGCATAACGTAATTGAAATATGGTCCGATGGTATCTGTTGGGGACTGGTCACTCTCCTTGTAATCTAAGCATAAGGAGACAACCAATCGTGCAGTGGTTACCGCCACAACTGGTTCCCAATCCAGTGACCAATAAAGAGAGTTCGAGAAAAAGGAGAAGAAACCAAAATTGGTCATTTCATTACGCTGCTCCTCTCAGATGACTCTCAACTATCGGCCGAATGTACAAAGTAAAGGAATTCCCTCTTGTTTTGTCATCACTTTTCACTTTCACTGGTTTTGAGTCCTGCGATGGAACGTTATACGATAGGACGATGGGTTATAAATCGAGAAACCTGTTATCCGAACATTGAAGTTATAACAGAATCACAGGTATGCAGTAACTATGAATATTTTCTTACTTTATCTCGCTTAATTGTCGCTTCACGCATATATTAAGTTCACCATAAAGTCGGATCAAAAAGTTTGTTTCTTATACGGTAAGTCATCGATATTTTTAATGCCACGCATCATCGTCATTAAAGTATCCCCACTCCAAAACCCCCGACACTCTCCCCGGTATAGCGTCACGACTGTCTTAGAGGTATTTATCATTCCAAACATTTGATAATGAACTGATTGATGCTGTTTTCACTCAACCATACCATAAATTCACGCGGTTATGATAATTAATTTTCCAATGTATTTTATTAATTTTATTTGAACTCTCATGGAAATGGGGTATCAGCATGGCTGCAGGGTTGGTCAGACACTTTCGGGGAACTCATCAGGTGTGTGGACTTGACGACACTGCAAGAGGAAAGCAGTTTTGTTCTCTGTCGTGACTCCGCCTGACATGACTGACTAAAGTCAAATGGATGAACACGTGCGTGTCTCAGAACAACAATACACTTCGCACACACACACACACACACACATAAACAGGGACTGGGGGTTTCTTAAAGGTATGCTTATCATTGGCAGCTGGGTTATACTCGATTCAGTAGAAGTAAAGTGAAGTTGCCATGGAACACAATTCATCCTTGCATAAATTCAGACGAACTTGGACCATGAATGCGAGTAAACGTGATCATGCGGATTGTTTTTTATGCGAGCCACTTTGAATGAATTCCTTTCGCAAATTTTAATGCTGTGAGACGAAACCGCATTTCAGCAGGATGGCACGGGTTTCGTTAATTTGGGTACTCCGGATCAGTGGAATAATCACATTGGTGATTAAGTTTAATCACCAATAAATGTCGGTGATAGGTTTACTGTAAGCATTCTCCTATGCAGGTACAGTCAAATGGCTGATGAGAAATCTCACATGATCTGCAAACAGACCCGCATTAGTTGGCCTATCCTCGTGATTTGTGCGGTGATAAATATGCCCCCGAAGGTCGACTCACGTGAGGTCGAAGCCATTCGTAGTTGCCGCGTAATCCCTGTCCGATGCCGGAACTATCCGCACGCAGGAAAGGATCTTCAAACAGGCCACCACGTTGCATTTGCAGTTTCACCTGCTGACGAAACCACTCCCGACTAGATTCGAAAGAGACTGATATGTGCGTGGGACTGTCCCATACGGTCGCTTCACCCCGATTACGTTGCAACGCACCGCGAGCGGTTTCTCGATGCTTGCGTAGCGTCATTCGGGTGTGGTAATCAGCAGGTTGACGAACCTGCAAGTAGTTCAATCAGGGAAATTGAAAATTTGGATGAGGAATGAGTGTATCTCAATCTGTGCAGAATAAAGTTTAGTTTAACGAAAATATTCAAACAATAAGCACTCAATATTCGTACTTTGCGTATATTCGTATATTTCGAGCACATGACCTTCAAATTTTCTTACTCATCTCTTAAACTTAATTGTCGCGAAACTGTCGAAGGTTGAATGTAAAACTGAGGTAGCTAATTATATATATATATATATATATATAGCGTACGGAACAAATAGTGGCAAAAGCATACCCTGCTCCGAAGAAAACTCTACGTACAAGACAGGGGAGAAACCACTGAGCAGCAAAGTTTGAATGGCTGAGTCAGCTATTGATTAGTTAACTGATTGATTCAACAATCGACAAACAGATTGCTTGGTTGATTGGTTGATTTATTGATTTCTATTAGGCTTGTCCTCATTTTAATGCCCAACCGACTTTCGTGTCCACGGTTGTCCTGTGCAATCCTCTATGAAGCCCTCAATTTATTTTTGATAACAGTACTGCATTCAGAAAACCGCGGAGTGGTATTTCCCTTCCATGTATTCCGGATTTCATTTATCATACGATCACAGTTTCATTTAAATGTTCCATTAACTTCCCGTTTAATGAATGTTTTACTTTCTGATAGCGTTTAACAATACCATAGTGAAAATTTTCGTGTTGCTCATGCTAATAGGAATAGCTAGAAACGAATTCTAGTGACATGCGATCCAATTGCTCACACACACGCACACACACACACACAACGCGCTTACCTAAAATATGGTTTACTTCATCAATCCATGAGTTATACGATATAAGCGATTAGTAAAATGAAGGGTGAAAAACAGTAACTTTCGATGAACCCGATCAAGAAGAAACGAAGAGATACAGAGAGAGAGAGAGAGAGATGAAACTCCACTTTGCAAATTACTACAGCATTGATTCGAGAGTGGACCCGAATTTCGTAAAGTAACAGGGTGTGACAAGTGAAGGAATTTCTGGCACGACATAAACACGCGGTGACCGTCAAAGAGAAAGATATAAGGACAGTTTGCCTGAATCTGTGAACCTAGGAACGTTTAAGATAACGTGTACTGAGAGAGAGAATGATTCGTCAAATGGGCAAAGGAGAGGTTTTATAGCATTAAACAGGACACGATTGCTACAGCCCCTAGTGGGAATGTGACCAAGAGTCTAGGGAGATACTGCGGTAGGAGCGGTCATCGCTAACCCTAGAATTAGCTGTACAAGAAGAAGAATGGAACAAAGAATTAGCGTCATCCGCAAAGGTATGAATAGGATTAGAACTCGAAGAAGAAAGGTTAGCAATGCATGTCAGAAAACGTGAGGGTGAAGTACGGAACCTTCGGGGCAACTAGCATTTACAGGCACAGAGCGGACACGGACGAAAATAGTACAAGCAAACTTCCTGTCCAGGTCAAAATATCTGAGGGAAAACTAAACCAGTAGACATTCGTGCTCGACATTATCGAAAGTCTTGGATATATCCAGAGACATCATGGCTGTCGAGTGCTGCTGGTCATGTATAAGAAACGAGCACCAGAAGATCTACCGTAGGTCTATGAGACCGGAAACCGTATTGACAGTAGCGAAGCATCCTGTTCTGCTCTTGGAGTTGATTAGCAGTGACAGATT